CCTGGAGGTTCAGCTGGCCGCTTTCTGCTGGCAGCTACATCAGGGCACCTCTGGGCATTACGGGGAGCAGCTGATCGCTCCCTTCTTCACATAACACTCTTGTACATCACTAGCCACTGTTACTCTATCCCTGATTAATTTCCTCTACATTCACCACTGCCCTGGTGAAATTCCTCACTTTCCACCGTGCCCTGTGAGACACAGTCTCTAAAGCTGGCCGCTTTCTGCTGGCAGCTACATCAGGGCACCTCTGGGCATTACGGGGAGCAGCTGATCGCTCCCTTCTTCACATAACACTCTTGTACATCACTAGCCACTGTTACTCTATCCCTGATTAATTTCCTCTACATTCACCACTGCCCTGGTGAAATTCCTCACTTTCCACCGTGCCCTGTGAGACACAGTCTCTAAAGCTCTCTGCATTTCCTCTGCATCCCTATGCCGTGTCTCCATCGTTTTCACAGTCCAGCTCCCCAAGCCAGCTGAGGCCCCGAGCACTCCACAGAGTGTCCACAAAGCAGATGAAGACCCTCTTTTGGCTTAGGCATGGCACTTACGCCAGCTCCCAGCATCCTTATTGCACGACACGATCACACAGCTTCTTCATGCAGAACCTATTGGTCTCTGTCTCCCCAAATGCTGCCGAGCAGAACAGCTGCCTGAGCTGTTAATCCCTCTTCTGCATTTGTGCCCTCGGTTTCCCTTTCCTTGGCCACAGTACTTTGCATTTGTCTTCAGTGAATTTTGTCTGGTTGATTTTGGACTGCTTCTCTGCTTGATCAGAATGAGTCTGAACCCTGCAAAGTGCTAGCAGCCTGGCATCGCACACATCATACATTGTATAAGCATGGGGATTCTTCCTTCATCCACCTTAATGACAACATTTGGATGGAGCAGGGGTCAGGACAGAACCCTGCATGCTGTGCTTTAAGCGGCTTTTATTGTAACAGACAGGTATTGCTAATTATCTTTGGAATGCAGCTTTGCAGCCTGTTTCGCAATTGCTGCAGTTTCATCTAGACTGTATTTGCTCAGTCTGCTTGAGTGTGTCATGCGAGAGCGTGTTGAAATCCTCGCCACGGCCAAGGCACATCATATCCACCGCTTCTCCCTTATCTGACAGACCAGTTATCAGGTCAGCAAAGAGAACTAGATTGGCTTAACGTAATCAGGCCTTAACAGATCTGCACCAGCTATTTAATGGCCCTGATATCCTTTGGAGGGTTATGACCTAATCACTCACAAACCTGGTCTGCTTAAGGGAATGGGGGTGAGCAGCCTGTAATTCTGGATTCTCCCTTCTATGTTTTTGAAGGTAGTTACCAGATTTACCCTTCCTCAGGTATCTGAGACCTCCTTTATCCTCCACCTCAGAGACAACTGCCAACTTTTCAGGGACTGCAAGAGCATCAAGCACGTGAAGATGAGTTGCAGCAAGCCTTTAGCAATGTGGATGTAACTGCTTTATCTATCCAATTGTCATCTAACCTCTCCAAGCACAGTATGGCCTTTCCCTCCCTCTGCTCCTGCACCCTCATTTAAACACTTCAAACATAGTCTGTGCCCTGTGTGGTCACCACGAGCATTTTTATGATGGCTGGAACAAAGCCCTCGTTAGCAGCTCCAGCCAGCTCAGCTGGCTTTTGTTTCCTCCACCGATAAGGACCAGACCGACATTGCCCATTGTTTCCTGCTAACATATTTATGGAGCCTTTGCTTGTTGCCTTTCATGTCCTGGACTAACTAGCACTCATTTTACTCTGGAGCCTGTCTTGTTTTTTTTTCCCCTTCAGTTCTCCTACGTGGTGCTTAGTCATCCCCGTGTTTTTACCTTGCTGACTTCAGGCCTTTAGAGTACTCCTGCATCTGCTGCAGTGCTTCCCATCTCACCTCCCTATGGGGACAGCTTGTCCTCGCCCCGCAGGACAGGCTGCCTGCCCCCACCCCTGCCTGAGTGGGCAGGCTTCAGGGCTTGGTGCACACTGCTAGCACTACTCTACTGATCCTGGCTTTTGGGTGCCTCTGGGCTAGGGTAGCCTTGTTTTACTTCTCGATTTGGTGGTTGACAGCCAGACCAGCCTGCTCTTTTCTGTTTTACCTTTCCCTGGACCCCCCAGCAAGGCTTCCTCCCCCTGCTTCCCAGGCTGTGGAGCACATCACCCCTGTGCTTCCTAACATCTCCTCCTTGGGCTTCTGAGCAAGCTTGTCCCATCCATGGCGATGTTCTGGTCCTGAGGTTTAGCCCAAGTCCACAGTGCCCATTCAACCATTGCTTTGGCTATGTGTGAAGGCTGCTTTGTTCCTCAGGTTCTCTCATCTCACGTTTCCCCTCTCCTCCTTCTTCCTTCTGTGACTGATGTGCTTTCTTCCACTGCACCTGGAGGTTTTGCTTCCAGCCTCCCTCCCTGGGGCTGCACTTCCCTTTCTTTGCCATTTGGCCCCCTCCACCAGTTATCCATAGGGATAATCCAAGGTCCCCGGGGTGGCAGAGCTCTTCAGTCCTCCATCAGTCACTACCAGGGCCTTCGTTTTCCCTTGGGTGGCCAGCTGAACCCATCAACTGCTCCACACTCCTGCTCCCTGCCAGTCTGTGGGGGGTGAGGCTGAAGTTTGTGGTCAGAGGGCTTGAACCTGTCTTGGCAGGATTTGGGCTCTGGAGGTCCTGTGGGAGAAAACAAGAGCTCTGGAGTGCATGGGGACGGCCTGCCCAGCTGGTGGCCCCACCACAAGTTGGGGTAGCTCAAGCAGGGTGTCCAAGGAAGTGCATTTAGCAGAGCAGACCAGTTGCAGTGGAGCAGCTGCTGTAGGGCTCACATGCATGCTCTAGTCCAGCAGCGAGTCAGCCAAGTGAGCCCTTTGGCACAGTTTGCAGGTTAATAAAACAAGCCCTTGTTTGCACAGCATGAGGTCCCTCCATGTTCTGGTCCTAGAGGTGATAATAGGCCTCTCAGGGCCACCATCATCTGCCTCCTCGGCCTTGTCTGATCAGGAAAGGGCATTTTCCAAGGCTGGAGGCAGCCTTTCTCCCAGATCTTACACTAGCACAACTTATTAGCAAGAAGCTGCTAACCTGGGAGTGTCACCAGCTCCAGAGCATGGCCAGGGTACTTATCTGGTGTGCATTGCTTGGTGAGTGGGGGCTACCTCCTGTGCTGGGGGATGCCAAGTGCTGAGGATGTCACCCTTGGGGACTGAGGGGGCTCTATGGACGTGCTGAGGGGTGTGTGAGGCTGATGGGGTCACAGTGGGCACCCTGGAGGTGCTGGAGGAGGCAGGGGCGTCATGGGGCACCTTCAGGAGAGGGCTGAGGGGTATGGCAGGGGCACTAGGAGATGTTGCCTGCAGGCTGGGACTGCTCACTGTGCCACTGGCTCACCCCTGTCCTTCTCCTCCTTGCAGACATCAACGAGTGCGAGGAGGTGGGCAGCCCTGAGCCCCTGTGCCAGGGTGGCACCTGTGAGAACACGGAGGGCTCCTACCGCTGCCACTGCTCGCCAGGCTACATGGCCCTGGCCCAGCCCCACCACTGCGTGCCCCAGACAGCCCAGAGCCCAGCGGCAGTGTAGCTCTAGGGGAGTGGGGGTGAGGGTGCTCCCCTCCGGCACGTGGCTCTGGCACTGGGGACCTGGGAGCAAGGAGAAAGGCCCCCCCGGGGCTGGGGCTGCAGGTGCTTTGAGTGCTTTGAGGATCTTTGCTCCTTCCCCTCCAAAGCACACAACTTCCTCGCCAACTCTCTACAGGCCAAGGCTGAGCTACCAGCCTCTGCACCCCTCTCTACCCTGCCAGCCCCTGCTCCTGCCACAGCAGAGCCCACTCTGGCCCCCAGCACCCGTCGCATCGCTCCATGCCGTGGAGGCTCACAGGACACCTTCCCCTGACACACAGCCTCAGCCTTCCCCCCTCTGCCGAGAAGGGGTTCATCTCCCCACCACTGCTGCACTGACCTAGTGACAAGCCTCACCCACACCGTGGGTGCTCTCACCCACACCACGGGTGCTGCCCCTGCTCCTTGTGAAGCATCCAGCCGCCAGGCTAGAGCTTTGAGGGGGGAGTCAACCCGAGCTTTCTAAAGCTGCTGCCTAACCTTGGGGCGTGGGGGAGAGGCCAGAGGGGCCCCAGGGCCACCTCTCCCTGCAGCCAGCCCAGGTGCATCCCTTAGTGCTGCACTTTGCCTTCACGCCCTACGCTGGCTGGGCAGGGGGAGGCAGGGGAGCAGGTCCAGCTTTCTTTCTGTAAAGTTGTTGGTGACTTTTTTTTTAACCAAGTCTGCTGGAAACTTCTCTCATGTTGTTAAATAAAACATTTATTTTGGGCCCCTGTGGCTCGAGACACTGGGGCTGGCTAGAACTGTGCTTATCTTGCCTCTGCCAAGGGGTACCAAAGCCATATCCTCCCTCTGGGTCCAGCCTGGCAAGGCCACCCCACTCTTGTAAGCCAATTCTTGCCCCTCTCACGCTGGCACCCAGCCTCCTCCTGCTCCTGAGCCAGAGTAGAGACCCTTGCCAGGTCATATACTTGCTTATCTCCCCAGCCACAGGAGCCAACTCCAGCCCCCAGAAACAGCACAGCAGTTGTAGCTGCTCACACGCTGCCCTGTTCACACCCAAGAGGGCTGCAGTAAGAGTGAGAACATGCAGGTTTCTGCAGTTGGCAAGAGCCCTTGGGCAGGTCTAAGAGCTGCTTTTCCAGCCCCAGAGCCCTCACTAGTAAGGCCTTTACCTATGCTGCAGCAAGCAAGGCCACGTTCTACACCACCACCACTTCCTCGGGGAGCCTTTGTACAATTTCAGGGCAGCACAGGACCAGCAAGGCAGGAACCCAGCCAGGCATTGCTAGCTGGACACCCTGGCAGCCAGCAGCAGAGATGCCTGGCTGCCTGCAGGTCACCCACACTCGGGCCAGCATACCACCTCCATCCATGCCTTCCGCTGAGAAATAAGACCAGGCCAATCCCAACTAGAAGATAGCCAGCCACTCTGCTTTTCCTCCTGCTCCTCTCCACTCACAGAAAACACAAGCAGATTTTGTCTGGCCTTTATTAAAAGGAAAGTTATAAAAAGAGGTTCAGGAGCTCCCAGCAGCTCCGAGTTAGTAGTAGTGCAAACCGTTGGTTAGAGAAAGAATCATCCCTGCAGAGACGTTGAATGCCATTTGGCTTTGCATCCACAAAAAGGAAGTTTTCCCAGCTGCAATCCCACCGACTCAAGCAGGGGACTAGGACAGAGCAGGCTGCCAGCTCAGGGAAAGTCTCCTCTCCTTTCCTTCAGCTGCGTGGATGGCAAATGCAGGTCCCAGGGACATCCCGGTTGCAACCGAGCAGGAGAAGTGCAGGAGGGTGGATGATGCAGCCAGCATTCTAGAAGAGGCACTGAAGGGTTACCAGGTAGCAGCTCAGACACTAGCCAGGTTCATCGCAGAGAAACTCCTTTGTGAGGACAGACAGCTCCATTTCAAAAACTAAAGCGCCTCCGCAGAGCAGCTGGAGGATGATGCTCAGTCAGTCCTGCAGCAGACACTGCCCCCCCCTTGAGCTGCTGTGAGAACACCCCAGGGGGCTCTAAACGGGGTACAAGCCCTCTGCCTTCGGCTGACCTTGCACCAACACAGTACTGGCTGCTCGGAGGCTGCAGAGCTCTGAAGGAAGCAGTAAGAAATGCTTATTATGTAAAAGAATTTGGCCTGTGTGTTGTCTTCTGTTTTTCCCCTCCCCAAGCCCTATTAATGGCAGGGCTCCTCAGCTGGTGATCTGCACTGGTATCTTCCAGCAGAACAACATCTGGTCCTGGTCATCCACCAGCTCCCACTTCACAATCAGTTTAATCTGAAAGAGAGAAAAGAGCAGAGGGAAATAAAAGTGTTCAGGAAACCTTAAGGCAAGGACGCGGGGAGGGGAGTTGTCACTTGTGTGGAGCAGGGAGGAACCTGGGAGCTCTGCACAAAGAGGACAGTGGCACTGCACCCACTGCAGTAGGTGGGCCGCACTCATGCAGTGACTCCTGGAGTATCTTACACGGATAGAGGGTTCTGCTGCGTGACACAGAAGACCTCCACACACAGCACTCGGATCCCCACTCTCCGAGGAAGGAGAGAGCAAAAACACCCCACAGTCTCCCAGCTGAACCGTACCCTGGAGCCGAGCACCCCCAGTTTGGGAGCATTTGGCGAAATGCAGCAGGCTCTGCAGGGAGGCACAGTACAGGAGGACACTTGAGCAGCTGAAGCCACTTCTCAGCAGCTGGAGCCAGGCTGCTTCCTCTGTTGGGTCTGTCCCAAAGTGGGAACTTGAAACAAGAGTCATGCTCACAGCAGAAGTGCCACCAGATAGTCCAAGGAGTCTTCTAACCTCTTTCCCCTCCACCACAGGACAAGGCGTCCTTCCTTAAAGGCAGGTGGTGGGACTACTAGGAAGGGCAGTAGCTCTGAGGAGCAGACCAGCTGCCTGCTTACTTACACTGGGGTACTCGCTCTTCACCGGGAGTTTATTCAGGTAGCTGTACGAATGGCCCTTCTGAATGGGGCACTGGATCCCAGACTTGCATCCATCGGGCTCAGGAATGGGAAAGGGTATGTCCACATGCAGCATCTCACCGTACACCTTTGCTTTGCTGCCCTGGCTCTCGATCTCTGGAAAATACAGAGCGGCATGAGCATGGCACCAGAGCAGGGAACACATTTCTGCCTTACACCCTCCCCTCTGCAAACCCGGGAGGCTGCAAGAACACAACTAAGGGACACTCTTCCTCCCCGGCCACTTCTTCCCACCCAGACCCCTCTCCAGCCACCCTTCCCCACGCAGTGGCACACAGAGGCGATCACCCCCCGCCGGCACCCCAGCTGCGGAAGCGGTGCTTACTGCTGGCGAAGGTGACGTTGATGCTGTAGGATGTCCCCTTGTGAAGCAGGCAGGGCTGAGTGGGGCAGGGGCTCACGTTCACCTCTTGGATGCTGCCGTCTTTGGAACCTGCAAGGAAGAGCCGAGTTCA